ATATACTAAATAATAATATTTATTCGCCAAAATATGACTATCAAATAAACACAATTTAATAGCTTGAACAAGAGCATTAAAATTGATTTCTTCTGAATGAATTGACTTTTTTCCACTTGACATGCCTAAAAATACTAGAAAAAAAATCAAAACAACATTTAAATAGTATGCCTGCAAAGTCGTATTTTTTATGCTGCCCAGATGGGTGTTGACACCGTCTCACAACTGGTGATATGCTGTGTCTCACACCCAGAAATTGGCGCTATTTTGAAAAAGGAAAATTAAATTATTTTCAACCGTAGATTGGAACAATGCAATATTGCATCACAAAATATAAGGAAAACACTAAAAGAAAATGCATTACATTTACCTTTTCCAATTAATTAACTTGGAAAAAAAGTACTTTGCACTTATTGAAAAAACGCTTTTTAGTCGATTATCACACACAGTGTTGGTATTTAACAAAAACAGTTTATATATCCGCTTCGGCGTACACGAAAAAGTTGGCTCATATAAAAAGAAATGTTTTTATATAAACCAATCGGCTTTTTAATATTGCATGTTAAAAAAAATTGACTGTCTCACAACTGGAGGTGTCTCACAACTGGAGACTCTCCCCTACAATTAAAAAAGATTTTGAATAATTTGATTAATTATGAAAATAATTCAATTCTTATAAATAATTTAATCAAAATTTTTCAAAATAATTAAATTTCTGCTAAGAATTTTATTAAAATTCTTAATAATAATAAAATTCAGGCAAAAAATTTATAAATTATGATATAATTGAAAATTATGTTTACAATATTTAAATTTTCACAAAGAGATGAATTTAATCAAAATTTTACAAAATAATTGGACTTTCTGCCAAGAATTTTATTACTTAGGAAAAGAATTACATTTTTGCAAAGTATTTAATTAAATTTTTTTGTTACAAAGAATTTTATTGAAATTTTTCAAAACAGTAAAATATTTGCGAAGAATTTTATTAAAATTTTTTTAAATAATTGAATTCTTTCGAAGAATTTGATTAATTATGAAAATAATTCAATTCTCATAAATAATTTTATCAAAATTTTTATAATTGAATTTCTGCTAAGAGTTTTATTAAAATCCTTTAAAATAATGAATTTCCTGCCAAAAATTGTATAAATTGTAAAAATAATTGAAATCTTGCTAAGAATTTTATTAAAATTTTGAAAACAATGGAATATTTTGGAAAGTATCAAAAAAGTATTAATTAAATTTTTTTTCTTACAAAGAATTTTATTAAAATTCTTTAAAATAATTGAATTCTTTCGAAGAATTTGATTAATTATGAAAATATTTTAATTCTCATAATGAATTGAATCAAAATTTTTCAAAGTACATAATTTGAATTTTTGCCAAGAATGTTATCAAATTTTTGAAAATAATTGAATTCTTTTAGGAAATTTTTTTGAAACTGTATTGAAAATAATTGAACTCCTGCGAAGAATTTTATTAAAGTTTTCAAAAGCAATAATTAATTTAAATAATAATTAGTAAATTAGTTAATAATTAAATTTTTTAAATTCTGAATATGAAATTATATTCCAAAATTGAAATTAATATTCGAAAATAAAAAATTTTTTTAATTTGTATATTAATAAATTAAATACCGCGTTTTTGCCAGCTTTTGCTATAGATTAATAATAAAATACCTATTACAAAAATTATTAATAGCGGAAAAAGTTTTCTAATGGTAAAATAGAAGAAGAAAAATTGCCGATTCGAGAATAAATTATCGCGCTTTAAAATGTCTCTCGAAAAAAAATATGTCAAAATAAGTCCCGAGAGAATGTTTCGAGAAAAAAAAATTCCACCCCAAGTTTCTCGTAAATAAAATGCAGACGACATTATGCAACTTTGAAGTGAAAATAAAATGTGCACCATTCTCCCTCTGAAATCTCGTAAATAATTTTATTTTGACTTTGTAAGATCGGCAGTCACACACGGTTGATTGACCGGAAACGTTTTAACTCGCGTTAAAGATGCTCAGCATCCGTTTTCGTAACGCGCTATGAGATCAAAGTTATCGTCTCATTTTTTCTTTTTTTTTTTTGAAAATACATCATCACTAGAGAGGGGGGGAGGGGGATTTTTTCTTTCCTTCTACTCGCGAGTGTATAAGGTGAAGGTTCATAAAAATCTCTTTCTCTCTCTCTCTTGTTCCCTTGTGTTCGCTACTCTTGGAAACAAGACGCGAAAACCGTGAACATTATAGAGAGTGATCGAGATGCTTTAAGAGAGGCGACATTATCATATATTTCACGATAGTCGTTTCGGAGTCAGCAGCATGTGTGGTCCAGGTCGAGATGCGCGACGTCGCATTCTTAAAGCGTCGCGGCGCCCGCGATCTATAGGCTCATCTTCACGAGCAAACGAGAAATAAGAATGTCAGGAATCTACCTCGAACGTATCTCTGATCTCATGAGGCGACAATAGACGAATGAATGCACCCGGCAGACTTTTTTTTCTTCCTTTCTTTCTCTCTCTTTTCTTCAACCCTTTTGCTGACATTTAAGAGCAGAATTCTCAGTGTTTGCTCCGAATTCATCTTGAGCAAGTGGGAAAAATTTAGAATAAGGAAAATAAGACGAAATGAGATTCTACTGATTAGTGAAATTCGCCGACTTGATTTACAATGGCAAAAACTACCAAAAACTTCTTTTCTTGCAAGAATAAGGAAATTTTTTGAAAAATTTGTATCGTGAATAAAAAAATTTGTTTGAGAAGTACGAAGAAATAATTTTCGTTGTATTTCGGTATACTGTTCGCAGTTTAAATTTAGTTGTTTTAGTTTGCTTTTTCCTTTCATATAATATTTTGATAATTTTTCATTTTAATTGTTTTCGAATATTAAAATTAAGGAAATTCTAAATTAATTTTTTAAAGATTAAATAATAATAAAAATGAATTAAACAACATTGTCATAAATTAAAAAATCAATTTCTAAATTTAATTAAATGTTCAGATATTAATATTTACGAAATAAGTTTTGCGATACTATTTATACAAGAAAAATTTAAAAATTATTTTATTTTCCATAAGTAATTTCAATATTTACGAAAATAATTAAATTCTTGCGAAGATTTTATTAAAATTTAGTTAATATTGGATTTAAAATAATTGAATTCTTACGAAGAATACAAATAAAAATTGTATTGAAAATAATTAAATTCTTATTTAGATGGATAAATTAAAATAAATTTAATCTTTAAATTCTTATTTTATATTCTTAGCAGAAATTCAATAATTTAGAAAAATTCTGATTAAATTCTTTGATTATGAGAATTTAAATATTTTCAATCAAATTTTAATTAAATTCCTCGAAAATATTTAATTACTATTCGAAAATTTTAATAAAATTCTTAGCAACATTTCAATTATTTTTATAATTTATAAATTTTTGGACCGGAATTTCATTAATTTAAAGAATTTTATTAAAATTCTTGTCAGAAATTTAATTCGTTTGAAAAATTTTGATTAAATTATTTATGAGAATTGAATTATTTTCATAATTAATAAAATTCTTTGGTGAAATTTAATTATTTTAAAGAATTTTAATAAAATTCTCCAAAAAAAATTTATTATTTGAAAAATGTCAATAAAATTCTTTATAAGAATAAAATTTAATTAAATACTTTGAAAAAAATTTTTTCTTTTTATAAATAATAAAATTTTTTGCAATTTTAATTAAATTATTTTGTAAAATTATCATAAAATTATTTATGAGAGTTGAATTATTTTCATAATTAATAAAATTCTTTGGATAAATTTAATTAATTTAAAGGATTTTAATAAAATTCTTGTTAGAAATTTAATTAGTTTGAAAAATTTTGATTAAATTATTTATGAGAATTGAATTATTTTCGCAATTAATAAAATTCTTTGGTGAAATTTAATTATTTTAAAGAATTTTAATAAAATTCTCCAAAAAAAATTTATTATTTGAAAAATGTCAATAAAATTCTTTATAAGAATAAAATTTAATTAAATACTTTGAAAAAATTTTTTTCTTTTTATAAATAATAAAATTTTTTGCAATTTTAATTAAATTATTTTGTAAAATTATCATACAATTATTTATGAGAGTTGAATTATTTTCATAATTAATAAAATTCTTTGGATTTAATTAATTTAAAAGATTTTAATAAAATTCTTCTAAAAAAATGTATTATTTTGAAAAATTTCAATAAAATCATTTATGAGAAATGAATTATTTTCATAATTAATCAAATTGTTCATAGAAATTTAATTGTTTATTATCTATATAAAAATATACTTTTTTTTCTAAATCATAAAATTCTTCTGAGAAATTCGATTATTTTGACAAATTTTGGTAAAATTCGTAATAAGAATTTACTTATTTTTAATACAATTTTAGTAAAATTCTTTTCAAGATTTTAATTATTTTCATAATTAATAAAATTTCTCGAAGAAATATTTTTAATTTTAATAATTTTAATATTATTTTAATTAAATTTCTCGTAAGAATTAAGTTATTTTTAAAGATTTAAATTAAATTTTCCCTTAGAAATTTAATTATTATGTATACAATTTTGATAAATTTCTTTTTAAGAATTTAATTTTACTTATTTCATATTCAAAATTATAAAAGAAATAAACGAAATGAATAAGAAATAATACCAAAGAAGTATTTTTATTTGAAAATAATTTGGTTTCATTAATATTTGGTATTTTTTAATCTTTCAAGCATTAAATTAGAATTTCCTTAATTTTAAAATTCAAAACATTAAAAATGAGAAATTAAAATTAAAAAAAAATCTTTATTCTATTAAAATTGAAAAATTATTAAAAAAAATTAGGAAACAAGAAGCAAAAAAACAACAGTTGACCGGAATGAACGATTTATTAATATAGATTACAATCTACGGACTAATAATAATTTCTCGATTTTTCGTACTTTGAATCGACTAAAATGACTTCTTTTTACAGATTAAAGTAAATTCGAGACTTTAATGATTGGAAAAGTAATTTTTGGAAAGAGAAAATTTCCCGGAACCCCTGGAACAAAGTTGTGACAAAATTGAAAGTGTCCGGAGAAGATGTAAAAGAAAAATTTTCCACTTGACGCGAGCGGCGAACTTAAAAAAAAAAAAAACACGAAAGCGTGACGAATCAATTATTTGGGCTCCTAGGGACCTTCGGACTGTCGTGTAGGATTTGTTGGCAAATGGTTTTTTAAAGAAAGGCAAAAAAGGAAGAGAAGAAGATAGAAATGAAGAAACGAAAGGAAATACAGAAGAACTGTTCTTAATGTCGGTCAAAAAAGGAAATAGAGAACAAGATTTGAACACGCAGGAAGGACTAAAAATGAGAGATTGGGCAAAGCACTCACGGTAGCTGCAAAAAAAAATAGAAAGAAAGAAAGGAGGGAGGGAAGAAAGAAATAAATAAAAATAGAGGAAAAGAAAAATAAAAGAAAAACTTACCAGTTGATTCTGATAGGCGGTGACAGCGGTGAATATGGCCTCCGGGAATACGAAAGTCTTATGTGGTTCACGCTCGAGATCCTCTATCGGATCGCCATTTCCGGTGTCCGGCCTCTTCACCAAATGAATTCGCGGCTGATATTTGTGCATCGAATTCAGGACCAACTAAAAAATTCCACAGAAATTTTGCACTTGAGAAAAATAATTCATTGGCTAATAATTTCCTGAGAAATGAATATTCTACGATCGTGGTTGGGAATAATTTTTGCAACTCTAAATTTTGCCATAATTTACTCAATATTTAATTTCTCAATTAAACATTTTTTGAAATTTTCGATTCTATTTAAATATTTTTCAAACTTACTATACAAAAGAGAAAAATAATTAAAATTAAACATTTAATTAGTAAAAATTTACTTAACAAAAAAATTTCGTTCGTTTGATTTGAACGTTCGAAACTAAAAATTACAATTTTATTAAACTTTCCATAAGGAATACATTTTTCTGTTTCTTCTGTAAAATATTAAATACATTGAAATTTAAAAGTCGACACTTGGTGTCAGTTATAAATTTCAAAATTAATTATTACTAACAATATCGAATTTCAATAAAAAGCGCTCTGAATTTAAAATGTGATTTTTCAAAAGATATCTTACTTTTTATTAATTTCTAAATTAAAAAGTCAGAAAATTACAATTTCAAATTAAATTATAAGAACCGATGAGAATTTATAATAAATTAAAAATAATGCAACTTAAATCGAATTTAAAGAGAATTTTCCCTTCTTTTCAATAATAAAAGAAGAGAAATAATAAATAAAAATTAAATTATCTTTTTTCTCTCTGTATTAAAAGAGAGAGAATAATAATAATAATAATTTTGAAAAGGGAAGAAAAATAAAACTCACATGTCCATGTCGATCCATATCATTGTTGGTGAGTTTGACTTTTTCAAAAGAAACCACTTGTTTTCGCAGTTGCTCGCCAGTGAATGGAGAATCGGGATGAACGTATAAACGAGCCGGTGCTGGTGGATCCGCCTTTCCAGCCACCAACCATGAACTTCTGTGATAAGCATACCTATATCTTTTGTTATCCACTGGCACAATATCCATAAGAACCGCGTATCGACCCTCGGGTCTCAGACCATTGAACGAAACGCGACACGTTGGAAACATTCGCCTGCAACAAAAATGAAAGAAATTCCTTTTTAAACTCTACATTTTATACTCTTTTTTTTACAATTTGTGTTTTTATTTACTGTAAATATATTTTTGTGTTCAATATTTTTTTTTATTTACAAAATGTACATTTTATTTACAATATTTATTTTTTATTTACAATATATTAGGCTTCGCACTCATCTATACTAAAACTTACTATTTACTACTTTTTTCTATATCTACTATTTCTGTTTTTTTTAGAATTTCCAATACTTTAAATTCGCTAATACTAGAAATCAAAAAACTGTTCTCAAAAATTATAATCAAATTCTTAAAAAAAACGATTAAAACGATTCAATTTTTTATTCAAAATTCAATTACTTTTAATATTTAGTATTTTCATAAAATTTCGCAAAAGAATTCAATTTAAAAAAAAAATTGATAAAATTCAACCAAAATTCAATTATTTTCATAAATAATAAAATTTCCACGGGAATTCAATTAATAATATTTTTTATGGAAATTCAATTATTAAAAAAAATTTTTGATAAAATTTTAAGCAAGAATTCAATTATTCTCATAAATAGTAAAACTCATCTCGAAGAATTTTAATTATTTTTAATACAATTTAAAATTAATTAATTAAAATTATTTAAAATCAAATTTTCCTAATATTTATTATATTTCGAAAAAATTGATTATTTAAAACAATGTTTATAAAATTCTTATGATGAATTCAATTATTTTCAAAAATAACAAAATATTTCACAGAATTTCAATTCTTTTGAAACATTTTAATAAAATTTTTCAAATAATTCAATTATTTTCAAGAATTTTGGTAAAATTCTTTATTATAAAAATTCAATTATTTTTAATACAATTTTAAATAATTTCGTCAATAAAATTTAATTATTTTTAATACAATTTTATCTATAAAATACTCCAAAGAATTTATTTATTTTCAAAAATTTTAATAAAATTCTTAGCAACTATTCAATTATTTTCATAAATAATAAAATTCATCTCGGGATTTCAATTATTTTTAATTGAATTTTACAGGAGTTGCTCGAAAAATATGTAATTATTCTTAAAAATTTAAATTTAATTCCTCGAAAAAATCAATTATTTAAAAAAATGTTTTTTTATAATTTTTTGGAAGAATTCAATTATTCACAAAAAAAATTTTAGAATTTTTCATAGGAATTCAATTATTTGCAAATATTTTTATAAAATTTTTCAAAAGAAATCAATTTTTTTAAATACAATTTTTATTATTAAATTTTTTTGAAATAATTCAATTATTATTTTAATAAAAATAAGATTTTAATAAAATTCTTCCCGAGAATTCAATTATTTACATAAAAAATAATTTATCGAAAGAATTTAATTATTATGTCGATATAAATTATTCCTGAAAATTCATATATTTTGAGGCATTAAAATAAAATTATTGGCAAAATTCAATTATTTTCATAATAAATAACAATATTCATCAGAAGAATTCAATTATTTTTAAAAGCGATAAATTTTTTCTTGGAAATTCAATTACTTTAAAAAATTCTAATAAAATCGTTCGCAAAAATTAAAGTATTTTCAAAAAAATTTAATAAAATACCACACAGACATTAAATTATTTTAAAAAAATTGTAATAGAATTCTTTGTAAAATTTAATTATTTAAAAATCTTTTCGAAATTCAATGATTTTTAATATCTACTGTTTTCATAAAATTTTTATACAAAATTCAATTTGTTTAAAAATTTTTTTGTAAAAATCTGTGTACAAATTCTTTGTAAAATTTAATTATTTTAAAAACTTTTCGCAATTCAATGATTTTCAATATCTATTGTTTTCATAAAATTTCCAAACAAAATTCAATTTGTTTAAAAATTTTTTTGTAAAAATCTGTGTACAAATTCTTTGTAAAATTAAATTATTTTAAAAACTTTTCGCAATTCAATGATTTTCAATATCTACTGTTTTCATAAAATTTCCATAAAAAATTCAATTTGTTTAAAAATTTTTTTGTAAAAATCTGTGTACGAATTTAATTATTTTTATGAATAATACAAATTTTTCAAGAATTCAATGATTTAAATTAGAATTTGAATAAAATTAGTCGAAGGAAATGAATTATTTAAAAATTTTTTTAAAATTAAATTATTTTTATAAATATTGAAATTTTTTTATTAATAATAAAATTCGTTGCAGAAATTAAATTTATCAGCAAGATAAGAATGAAGTAAATATTTTTGATGAAAATTAGGAAAAAGTCAGGAAAATAAAATATAGAATGGAATATTTTTGTTTTGTGAAGTGTCTAAACTTTAGTTTTTTTGGTCGTCAAGTTTAATTTTTCGATAGCTACTTTTTTTAAGTTTGAAAGCTACTTTTTGCTACTTTTTTAAAATTAATTATCAAGTACGAAGTCTGATATATGTTTTGCTTCCAATATATATTTTGCCATTAAAAATATATTTTATTATATTTTATTTATTTATACATATAAATAAATAAGTAAAAAAAAATATAAATATACATATATCTAAAAATTGTATAATATGTCCATTTTACACTGATGGTACCAATTTTATTTGCAATGAATACTTTTTATTTATTCGGAAAAATTGATTTTTTTCCGTCTATGTTTTAAATAAGTTCAATTAACTTTATTAAAGTCTGTGGTTTTTCATTCTGTCCGTTCGCAGTATGAAGTTAGTTGTTAGTTATCATTTGCGAATTATTATCATGATTTTTTTGTTTGTTTATATTTTTCGTGATGTTTTGACATTTCCGATGTTATGTTATGCGGTAGTGCGGGTGTTTTTAAAAAACGTTAAATTGTGACAAGAATTATTGTGTTTGAAAAATCGTGGAAAAATATCTGGTATCAGGCGAGAGGTTACCGTTTTCAGTGGAAAAAAAACTGTAGATTGGTAAATTCTAATTATTAATTAAAATTTTCTTCTTAATTAAATCATTTATATTATTTCATTTTATTTTGTTAAATAAAAATCTCAAAATAACTTAAAAACAAATTTTATTCGTATATCTTATTATTATTATTATTATTATTTTTTTTTTATTTATAATTATAATTGATAATATTTATTGTATTTTGATTTATTATTATTATTGAAAATTTTATGCATTTTTAAAATCTAAAAAAACTGAAATATCGAATTGTCAATAAAAGTTGTATTATTTTCAATTTTCAACGATTATTAATTTTAATTAAAAAATTCAATTTTCCTGAATCAATAAAAAATATCGTTCTAAATTTTATTACATTGGTCGTTTTCGTAAATTACTATTCAATAATATTAATTATTCAAAATAATTAATTTTTTAATATTTAATTTTTCAAAAATTTAATTAATCTTCAATTATTAACTTATACAGTGCAGGATCTAGAGTCTAAATTTTTTGGGAAGAGCGATCCCTTTAGTGTGTGCTTTTTTTGATTGCTATTATGAGTGATAATAGCTCCTGGTTCTTTTATGTTTAAAAAATTGTTCGAAATAATTAATTTTTCAAAAATGAAAAAAAAAAATTCAATTGTTTCAAATTTTAATTAATTTTAAAAAAATGATTTTACACAAAAAATTTATTTATTTTTAAAAATAATTGCAATTCAAAATCTATTTGAATTTAGTATTTTAATAAATTACTTTTTTTATTATGTTAAAAATAAATTGTTTTTTTAAATATTTTATTAATTTTTTACAATATTTGAATTTTAAATAATTCAAAAGTCAATTATTAATTATTCAAAAATAAATCAAACAATTTTAATTAATTCAAAAATAAATTATTCTGTTTTTAATAAAAATTTAATTATTTTGAAATCATTGAAAAATGTAATTGTTCAAAATAATAATTAATTATTCAAATATCAAAAATACAATTAATTCAAAATTAAATTATTTCATTTTAAATAAAAAATTGAAATTAATTTATTGGCACTTACGTAAAAAATAAACGTATTTCTGTGTGTGTTTGTGTGTAGAATTAACTTATAAGTGCTTTCTTTTGCAAGAATTAAACTTATCGTTATCTTCTGTTCAAATAAAATATAAAATGTTAACGTTTTTTTTAACACAATATTATAGAAAATAGATTTTCTAAAAAGAAAAAAAAATAATGAACTTAAAAAAAATACTTTAGGCACCGCCTTTCATTTCAACTATTTAAATACTATCAAGTCTTTTAAAGACTATATAAAGTCTTCAAATCATGAAAAATACATAATAAAAAATTGAATTATTCCGAAATAAAATTCAAAAATCAACAAAACAATCAATTTACAATTAGGGCCATTTGGGGTAATTGTAAACAAGGGATAAATGTAAACAATAGATGTTTCAACTAAATTTACAAATTTAAAAATTAGTTTTAAAAACTTGAAAAAAATTGTTCATAAATTTAAATTACTTTAAAAATATCCAATTAAAATTATTAAAGAAACACAATTATTAAACAAAAAATAAAAAATAATTCTTCAGAAAAATTTAATTAGGGTTTCCAAAATTGATTTAATGATTTTTAGCGAAAATTGAATTATTTTCATAAATAATGACATTTTTTGAAGAAATTCAATGATTCTCAAATTTTTTGCAAGAATTTAAATGAAATTCAATATATTAATTTTAATTAAAGAGGCATTTCACGTCAGAAATATCACGATTTGCAAAGGGTATGCCGATTTTCGCAAAAGTTTGTGGGATTATAGTTCTATATAAGAGACTTCTTTCCCCCAAATTTTTTCAAAAAAAATTCAAAATTGTTGAAGATACGCCATTTTGAATTTTAATATTAATTTTATAAAATTTTGAATATCTCGGAATATTGTTTATGGATTTTTATGAAATTTACACATTTTTCAGGTAAAAGTATGTACTTTAAAATGCAAATAAAGTTAATAAAAAAAAAATTAATTTTTAAATAAAAAATTAAAAAAAATTTTTTAAAACAATTTTTTGTTTATTTACTCCTCTCTGAGAAAAATGTTATTAACATA